AGAATTGGTAAAAGTAGAATTAAACAGCGCCAATATCACAATCGTTGCTGTATTATTATCGAATGAGGTCTCGTATTTTGAAGGCTAAACGTTCTGCTCCTTTTCTTCTAAACAGCTGTGTACCTTACTCATTATGCGCCCTAATGACTATTTGAAGCAAATATAACTCTTCATAATCACATGAAACTAATTCTTGGGTTCCATCTCAAACTGCTTGATTTTTACTTTTTAGGGGTGCGATTTCCTTTGCTTTTTTTCGCCAAACTTGTTTTTTTCATTTGCCTTTTTTTTCGCCAAACTTCAGTAACTCTTGTGTATTTTTTTTGCTGTAAACATAGTCTTATTAGAGAAAATTAGCGCTGTATTTCATCGTTGGTAGAATATCCTTCTCTAATCCATTAGAAGTTTAAAGCACGGTGGTGAAGACTGAAAAATTTTTTTTTGATTTTCCTTCATATTTTGTTAAAAATGAAGCTGGATTATTTGAAAATTTCAAGTGGAAACGACGATCTTCTCTAAAAAATCATGATATTAATTTAATTTCAGGCTACGGTTGAACGCATGGGACGTTGGATCGATTTTAAAAATGATTACAAGACGCTGTATCCGTGGTTTATGGAAAGTGTTTGGTGGGCTTTCAGTCAGTTATTCAAAAAAGGGCTTGTCTACAGAGGAGTTAAGGTATTACTTTTGGTTTTGTGTGAAATTCTGGCAATAAAACTTAAGAAAATAACTAAATGGAGGTGGAATACGGAGATGAAAGTTACTGTTTTTGCAAGGAATTTGGGTTTTTATGACTGATTTTGCCTATTTGTTTCATTTTATATGCCAAACGATATTTTCCACCTTACTATTGCTGTTTGATGTTCAGGTGATGCCTTTCTCAACAGCCTGCTCTACACCGTTGTCGAATTTCGAAGCAGGACAGAATTACAAGGATGTCGTAGACCCTGCAGGTAATTTGTGTTTTTTAGCGAATTTTTAGATTTTGCTCGGGCCTGCCAGAAGCTCGACCGGTGCGATATTGCACTTTTCGTGAATGGAGCCTTTTCTCAAAAATTGTTCTGGACCGGCAAGGAGTCGAACCACTCCTGTTCACGTCTGGATGCAATGTTTTACCACTACACTACCAGTCCTTGTGCTTCAGTTTAGGCTGGCAGCACATCTGCTGTGTATCTGCCTTTCAAGACATGATGCGCCTTCTCTTTTTTCTTTGTGGTGGATTCTTGGCCAGCTTTTCGCGGGTTTTCCGCGACAGCATTTTTACTGGTAGCATCTCGTGAAGTTTCATCGTTTAAGTGTTTAGTAAGCTTGAGTGATGCTTAAAAATCAATGCGAGCAATCTTCGAGAAAGCAAATGAACGCTGAGCGGCCTTGAAGAGATAGCGCATATACATCGAACAGGCAGTGGATACTAACCAAAAATGTGTACCTTAAAAGCAGAGGACTTGACGTAACTACATTCGGCATGCGGGAACATACCAATGGCACCATTAACATTGGGATACCTATAGCGATTGCTTGAGATGTTTCGATTTTGTTAATTTTCGTTCACTGGGAAGTTGGAATTGCTTGAGATCTTTGAACTTTGATCAGAGATAATGATAGTTTTACCACTGAAGTAAAAAAAAATCCTGTAGAAAAATCAGTTTTGCCACGGTGGGCTACAAGTTTGAAATTGACGATGGCTGTCACCTACCCATTGCGCCAAGCAATCTTCTTTCTTTTGTTGTTTGCTTTTCGTAGAATCAGTATTCTCCTCGCCGTCAGTTTATTTCTAAACAGCCCTTGAAAGAGGGAGCCATCGAGAGCGTTGTCATTGAGTTTGCTGATACGTACTGCCCTTGAAATACTTCTCATCCAGTACCGATTCAGCCCCCACATTTCCAAATTCCATCCGCCCACAGGGCCCAAACGGCCCGTGGGGTCTTTTTCATACCACATAGCTGCACAGTTAACTTTCCGAACTTCGAGGTGCTTCCGCCTCTCATAAAGAGTGAATATGA